GAGGCTTTACCTCTTTAACCACTTGCTTCCTGTCAGCCACGCCCATTGGCCAAGTATAGGTTTCTGAGTCGCAGCTGGTGGCTTTGCACCACTGATCTTGTGGTTAGCAGTCCAGTGCTTATTCTACAGCGCCACACCAGGACCCTCGTAACTCCTCCATGTTCCCTTACTGTTACACACTGTCCTGTGATCAAGTAAGGCATAGGGACTCCTGGTGTAGCGCCGTAGGATAAGCACTGGACTGCAAGGTTGGTTTGAACCACAAGGTCGGCAGTTCAAATTAACAGCAGCTACTCAGAAACCCTATAAGGGTTGCTATGAGACGGAACCGATACTACGGGCCTTAACAATAATAAGAGCCACTGAAGAGTTTTAAGCAAAGAAGTGACATAAACTAATGGAGAATAAAATTTAAAAGGACAAAAGGGATGAAGGAAGACACGTTTGGAAGCAATTACGTTCTTTAGGGCTCTTCCTCCACCGCTCCCTCCCGTGCTCACCAGTCAGTCGGCCTCCTCTCTGGTGTTTCAACATGCCAGGCTTGTTCCCTCTGTAGGGCCTTCAACTGCCTGGATGTTCTTACCTCTTTTAGCAGAGCTGGCTCTGTATCTCTCTTTCCTGACTTTGCTGTTGTAGTCACAAGGAACTGTTCTTACACATCATTTCTGTCCTTTTCCACTCAACGTAGGATTAGACTTCCCTGCCCCTTGGAAGCGCTCAGTGGCCATGTGACTTGCTTTAGCCAATGAAATGTGGGTGAAAATAACATGTCACGACTGGGTGGACGCTTTAAAGAGCTACTGGTGTGGCGCTGTGGGTTAATGCGCCAGACTGCAAAGCTGTTTGTACTGCAAGGTCGGCGGTTCAAGCTTACCAGCTGCTCCTTGGAAACCCTACACAGGGTCGCTATGCGTCGGGATCGACTCGATGGCACTTAACAACAGCAACATGCGCTAGTGTAGTGGTTACGAAGAGCTGCAAACCTCAAGGCCAGCAGTTAGAAACTACCAGGTGTTCCGCGAGAGAAAGATGAGGCTTTCTGCTCCGGTAAAGATTTACAGCCTCGGAAACCCTGTACAGAGTCGCTGAGTCGGAACCGACTCCACGGCACAAAACCACCACCATGCGCTTTGACCCTCTTTCCCTTCTATTACAATGTGCTGCTGCTGCAGGATAATGTACTGTACCGTAGGGCCGGTGATTCAAACCCACCGTTCTCTTCTTGGAAACCCTACACAGGGTCACTGTGAGTGGAAACAGACTCCGTGACACTTAACCACCAACAGTAATGGCTGTTAGTGCTCCTGATAGGGCTACTTTAGCCTGAGTTGGAGAGTGACAATTGTTTTCAGCAGAACTGTGAGTCCTAGTGTGTGGTGCTGTAGGATCAGCACTCAATCACATGGTCGGTTTGAACCTCAGGGTTTATGGTTCAAACCCACTAGCTGCTCCTCAGAAACCCTATTCAGGGTCACAATGAGTTGAAATAAGACTCGACAGCACTTAACAATGGACATGTATGTAGCAGAAGCAACACCTAATTCTGTGTTGCTATAAGATGCTGAGAGCTTGAGATTGTCACCGCAGTGTTTCTAGCCTTTCCTGATACCCTTAATCAGTCTTGTACCACATCAAAGAAGGAAATAACCACTACCTGATACATTTGGACTGTTTTGTTTCCCTAATGCCCTCCTCCAACCACTCCCCCAGAAAGCTCTAAGGATAATAGTGTATTTATTTAACTCATTCACTCCTATATCCTGTGCTCCTAGAAGTGTCTGGTGCTTAGTCCTTAGTCCATATGCAAATGTTTGTGGATTGAACCTGGTGTGGCAAAGCAGGATAAGTACTGAACTACAAAGTTGGTTTGAATTGCAAGGTTGGTGGTTCAAATTCAGCCAGCCGTTCCTTGGAAACCCTATAAATACGAGTTAGAACTGAGCCTCCATTGCCTTGTAAATACCAGCAGGCTACTTGTTGTAGAAACTGGAGTATGTCTTGTGTTCAGCACCTCTGGGGCACCAAAGCCTAAAGCTCCACTCTGCTATTTGTGGGATTGAAACTGTGGCTTGGGTTACACCCTTCCACAGGGTCACTATGAGTCACAATTCACAGGAAACCAAACTGTCCCAAAGCTACCAGGAGTCCTTGGTCATTCAGAGCAGGCTCTGTTAAAGATCATGTATAGCAGATAAACAAAAAGAAATGAAACCTTAGAATCATAAATCATAGTTGAAGTCATTCAGGGAACAAGAGTAGGCCAGAATTCATTTTGATACTGTCTTTAACACTATAAGGTAGCCAGATGTTGTCCTAGTCCTTTAAACATTTTCTATGAGTGTTGAATCTAATTCTGCGAGAAACAGCGGAGTCTCAAATTTCACTATTATTGTAAAGTATCAGCACTGGAAAGAACAGTAGTGACTATTCAATTCGGACTAGTTCACTTATAATTGGGTTGAATTTTAATTGAAAACCTCTTTGGGGCTCACTGTTGTCTGCCAGAGACTTAGAGCATAGACATTCATGTTGGATATTTGGTGTTGCTTAACATTACTGGCTTTTTAAACCAATGTATTTTTTTTTCTTCTTCTTCTTCTAGAATCACCTCACTTAGGTACTTTACTATAATAAAGCTTTGAAGAAGATCCTGCTTCTGAAATTAACCCTAAAATACAGTACATCTTGCTCTTAACTAAAAAAAAATTCCTGAGATTTCAAAGATACTTTATGTTAAAACACTAAGGAGGATAAACTCTTAAAAACTATAATTACTACTGTGTCTCTTTCTGTGGGGACCATCAAGAAATATTAGTTCTTTAAGGCCACCAGTGTAAGATAGTGGCACAGCATGAATTTAGCTTTCTCTCCTAAGACCCTGTATTAAGCAGATTCCGTCTTCAACAGCAAGAATATTTTGAACTGCAAAAAGAAAAGCACATTAACTCAATACTAACTCCTGGTGTGGTACTGTAGGATAAGCGCTGGGCTGCTAACCACAAGGTCAGCAGTTCAAACCCACCAGTTATTCCATAGGCAAAAGATGAGGCTTTGCGCTCCTGTAAAAATGTACAGCCACAATAACCCTATTCAGGGTTGCTAAGAGTATGAATTAAATTGACCTGATGGAGTAATTAACTTTGTGGTTAAGGAACCCTAGTTGTGCAATAGTTAATTGTTTAGTCACTAGCTGAAAGGTCAGCAGTTCAAACCCACCAGCTGTTCCCAAGATGGCAAGTCCTGGTGATCTGATATAGAAAAGATGACAGCCTGGAAAACCCTCTGGGGCAGTTCTACTCTGGCCTGTAGTCATTATGAGTCAGAATGGACTCTACAGCACACCACCATCACCACAATCCTGAGGCACTGAACTTTAAAAAGAAAACATTGAGCTCATCCCCCCCATGTGCTGAAAATGGGACAGTCTGAATATATTTCAAGTCTCAAACACAAAGCCATATTCATACAAAGGAAATCATTTACATGTGGTTAAGGAAACAGGAAATTTTCACATCAGCTTTAATATTTATATTTCCCCCCCAAATTTCCTGAACTCAGTAATTACTAACACTTTTTATAGTATTATTTACTGCATCCTTTTAAAAAAAAAAATCATAAGGCTAAGCACAAAACATAGTTAAGAAAACTGGATGTCAGTCTATACAATGAATCTTTACTTTTTGGCATGACAGACTTTATTTTGGCACTTTAACAAATACTTTGCTTTACAGCAGTGACAAAATATTTGCCAGAAATGTTCTTTCCCTGGCACAGAGATTCCAAGCAGTTGTTATTCTATGAATTGAATTTGATTATGCTTTGCAGTTAAAGGTATGCCCACTACATTCTTAACCTCTGCAATTGAGGGATATGGTGTGACTTTAGAAGACGCCATTACTGCTTTTAATCATTCTAAAGTGGATTGATTCTGAAAGTGATGGGAAAGGAATTTGAGAATTAAGGCCATTAAGGATTTAAGTACTGTAAACATCGTTCCTAGTGTTGCTTAAAAAAAAAAAACAAGTTATTAAAACTGAGTCCTGTTGCAATCAATTCCAGGGTATGTTCTCTAAGTATTGTACTAAATTCAATGTTGGAAAGTTGTAGTTTTTGCTCTCCCTACTTTGACAACCCACAGTTTAATATAAAACTCATGGTAAAATGAACAAAAGGAAAAACCAAACCAAGCAAACACACACTCGCCATTGAGTTAGTCCCCACTTATGGTCACCTCATGTGTGTTAGCATACAACTGTGCTCCACAGAAATTTCAGTGGCTGGTTTTTCAGAAGTAGACTGCCCGGCCTTTCTTCTGAGGGGCCTCTGGATGGAACTCGAACTTCCAACCTTTCAGTTAGCAGCTGAGCATGTTAACCATCTGCACTACCAGGGACTCCAAGTGTAAAACACAAGGAAATACTCAAGCACAAAGAAGTGCCAAGTCAGGCTATCTGCCTGCTCCTATGGTCTGGTCCTCCATAGGTGTCACTGCTTTCTAGCAACTTCGAAGGTAAGCGGTGAGGCCCTCCTCTGAGTCAGCCTGCCCTTTCCTCCTAACCTCCCTGTGAGGTTAAGCTTCAGGAGACTTGGAGCAAAGTTTCAGAGGTAAATCACTATATAGGATTATGTCTTAGACAGTTATGTCAAGAAAGCCCCCTTCAGTTCTTTGGAATTTCTAGACTTAAAATAGTTATTTGCAAGAGCAAGCATCTGTCTCAACATTGCCATCGGCTATCCTACAAAAGTTGCAAACTTCGCAATTCCCTGGCAGCCTTCCAGAATCTGTACACACACAAAGATGATATATTCAGATTTCCTCTGGCTGGCCAATTCAGAAGTGAATCTGGTAATAAACAACCTCATGGATGGTCTCTTTGGTCTTGATTGGCAGATGCTGTGGAATACTCATAAACCCATGTCTCATCCTTGCAAGCAGATGGTCGTTAGCACAGGGGAGATGTACATTTGATCGGAAATGTACAAAATTTATAACAGTGACATTTTCAATATTAGGCCACATGATTTATTCAGTAGTTTTTATGTTCCCAAATTACAATTTATGTCTATTTGTAAGACTACAAAAGTTACCATTAGAATTGTCTGTGCTTATAAAATACCAACTTTTTTTTAAACTGTTATATATACTCATTAACACCAGTCTGCGACGAGTTACATAGAATCATAGGCACTTCAAAGGCTTAAAAAGACATTTACAACTTTAAAATGCATTTTTAAGAACAAAAACTGATTTTTTCTTTAAACCTCAACTGGTACCTTTCAAATTGCAAGAAATTAACAAATACAGTGGCCAAAGGAATCTGCAGCAACTTTTCAAAATACTGTTAGCATCTTTGGGTTTGCTGAGGCTTGTCAGTAACTCACATCAAATCCCCCAGAAAGGAGATCTGATTAGATAGATAGGACTAAACAGCTTTGTGGTAAGAATCCAATTTTACACATTAATTTGCTGTTGCAAATCTGCCCGAAGCTACAGGTAATGAAAAACAAAGCAAGTGTAAAATGGATAGTCTGACACTTAAAAATTTATACAAAGTAGAGGTTAAAGTTTACATACTTGGAAATCACATATACACTAAATTACCATGATCTGAATTATCCAAAGACAAATTGCACCATGACAGCTACAAAAGGCATAGAGTTTTGTTTTTTAAGGGGATGAAGGGTGAAGGGGGACAGAGGAAAGGAGAGCAACAACAGATAAATTAATGAAGTCCAACTCCGTGAGGTCAATCTGAGACATGCCGACAAAAACCAAACAGCTTTCATCTTCGAACCTTGGGGAAAAAACAATCACTTCGTATTTGCACATATGGGTTTCCAACGATTCCATGAACATTGAGGGTTTTCATAACATAATATTTTGCCACTGCTATTCACAGAACACTGCAGATGTTAAATTTTTCATTTTATGTGGTTCTAAAGAAATACATGAAAAATTTTAAATACAATGGGATTTATCATTAAGGTGCCAGAATGGCTCTTTAATGAAAAAAACAAAAAACAAAGATCTTCATTATTCTATGCAAAAGCTTTATTTTTAAAAGTTCAGTGATCTCATAAATAGAGACACTAAGTAGGAGTTTTACGCATAAAACTCCTTAGTAGGTGCCTTCTGATAAGCAGCACTCGATGGTTTGCGTTCTCCGAGGTCATAGCTACCTTCATCCTTCTTCCTCATGCGATACACCAACAGCAGGATAAGGAAAATTGCAAAGAGAAAGCCAATAACTCCACCGGCAATGACAGCTGAAACATACCAAAGGGGAAACTTTCTTTTAGAAGGGATTCAAGGGTTACAGAAATTCACTTTGTCAAGTCCAATCGATTTATGCTTTTATAAAAAGGCTTAATTTGAAACCTCCAAATTAAGAGAAAAAGAAAAAAAAAAACAAAAACAAAAAAAACCACCCGGATTCATGAAGCAACCAGGTAATTATGCAAAGCTGACATTCCCCAGGAAGGTACAATAGTTTCTTTGACTGGTATTAATATTATCACCCAAAAGCCTCAATAAGAAAAAGCTGGCTATGGCCACAACTAATTATGTACTTTAAAATGCTTTAGTCTTTTCAGTACTCACATTTTATTTTGTAATCTAATTGCTTTTTCAGTGAAAATGGAAAACATGATTTAACTTTAACTTAAAATTTTTAAGTATAAACATGAAAAAGCATGTAAATTTCTTTTCTGATCTTGGATTTGGGTCTATCCAGAATATGGTGCTCTACTAGCCGGCCAAGGTACAATAATTGGTCTCTATTTGCCTAAGGAGCTCTGGTAGCATAGTGGTAATGGACTGCTAACCTCAAGGTTGGCAGCTAGAAACTATCAGCGGTTCCACGGGAGAAAGATGAGGCATTCTGCTCCCATAAAGATTTATAGTCTCGGAAACCTTGTGCAGGATCACTATGAGTCGGAACCGACTCCACAGTACTTAACAACAACAACAACATATGCCTGCAGAGAAAGGTGAGTCAGAAACAGTAGTAGGAAATGCAATGTGTGGCTAAATGTGTCCATGAACAACTGCCTCCACTGCCATCAGACCAGAACTGGATGCTACCAGCCTACCATTACTAAACATTTGACCAAACATTCAATAGAAGATTCCTGATCAAAACGGGGGAGGAGGATTAAAGGACAGAATTTCAAATTCTCTTAGAATGGAAATTTTCTGGAGTCACTGAGATTGGATGAGTTCCCAAAACTATGGTCCTGAGATTAAAAAAAAAATCCCCTGAAGTCTTAAAACCAAATAATAGGTTAGCTTAATTAGTAAAGAACATCTGCCCCGACCATTGTACTCTCTTAAAACAAACTATATGGAATCAAACTGACAACCGCAACTCAAAAGGTTAGACGGGAATCTTGGGGGCAGTGAGTTTATGTTAATTCTGAAAGCGAGGGTGAGAATGGCTGCCCAAGTTTAAGAATGTCCTAAGTGTAACTGAATCATACATTTAGAAACTTAAGTTGGTGAATGTCTATGTAAATTTTAAACAACAAAACAATTTTTTAAACATTGTAAGGAAACCTGGGGGGGGAGGGGATTAGGTGCTCTTAAATTGTACTAATCTTCCCACTTAAAATCCAATGTTCACACTTTATCAGATCAGTTATAATTAGAGACAACATTCTTATAGCCATGGACACTGTATGTATGTATATATGTTATTGTTGTTAAGTGCCTTCGAGTCGGTTCTAACCCATAGCGACCCTGGATAGGGTTTCCGAGGCTGTAAATCTTTACGGGAGCAGAACACCTCATCTTTCTCCCACGGAGTGGCTGGTAGTTTCGAACTGCTGGCCTTAAGGTTCACAGCCCGATTCGTAACCACTACGCTACCAGTGCTCCTTTTACACACACACACACACACACACACACACACACACACACACACATATATATATATATATATATATATATTCCTTCCCCTTTCAAAAGAGCTTTTCCTTATCTTAAGTTTACTTTGAAATCAGGTATGGCTTGGAGTGAGACTGACTGATCTATACACACACACAAACACACACACACACTTCTCTGCCCCACACACCTCCCAGCTCAGTTGTCCTAGACCAATTCAAATCTTAACTTTGCTCTTCTAGGCCATCTTACCCCTACTCCTGCCCCAGCCCCTCCCCGCCCCACACTTAATGAATGGAGTAGACCCAGATGCCTGCCTAACCTCTTGGTCCTCACAATGGAATGAGAAGGACACTCAAGACAGTACAAAGGTAACATCTGCCTACATACACCTCCAAGTCCCACACTCAGATCCAAGCTACGGTAAGGGATCATCTCCTTAGCTGAACCCTACCCTGCTACTCACCTGCCAGGACTTCTTTCCGTTTAAACAGATTGTCTGAGTGCTTCTCAGTGTACACATTTGTGTCTTCTTCTGCTGGATCCACTTTCCTTTCTGAGTCAGACACGTGGACTTTATCAATTTCTTCAGGTGACTGGTATGGGAAAGAGAGAAAGATTATATAGACTTAAAAACATGTTGGAAAGAGAAATTATAAAATGAGCATATATATATATATATTTTTAAAACTAAAAAAATTTTTAAACTTTTTACTGTGAATTGAGTGAAGGTTCACAGAACAGATCATCAGTGTTACATTCAACAAATCATATACACTTAGCTTCATTACAATGACTGCAATTTCCTCCATGTACTATCAGTTGACAGTATTTATTTCTTTTCACTTTAGTAAGACGAGTATATTCTAACATTTCTTTTCTTCATACAATGCATTTAAGGAAATAATTGGAATCATCATTTTGGGTGCTGTTTACACCCATGGGTGAGTCCCATTATGAGTTTCCATTCTTCGAGGTGTTGGAAAACACTCATGGGATGTATATGCAAGATGGCTACGTGGTGAGTGCACCAGCATCCTAATGCCATTGCTAATTGTTTAGAGTTGACACGCCAGGAGATCTCTATTTTTCTCATCACTCTTCTGACTTCAGGGAGTTTCTGGACCGTGCAAACAGTTAAGCACTCGACTACTACCTGAAAGGTTGGTGGTTCAAACCCACCTAGCAGCACCTCAGAAGACAGATTTGGTGATCTGCTTCTAAAAGGAAGCCTTGAAAATCTTATGAAATAGAACACATGAACCACAGCTTCCACTAGCCAGAGACCAGAAGAACTATGTGGTACCCAGCTACCACTTCCAATTGGGATCACAATAGAAAGTCCTGGATAAAGTGGGAGGACAATGTACAACAAAATCCAAAATTATAAAAAAATTTTTAAAAAGACCAGACTTACTGGTCTGATAGTGACTAGTGAAATCCCAAGACTATGGCCCTTGGAAAATCCTCTCTCAGAGATCATCTATCAGCCAAACGATAGACAGATCTGTAACATGAACTGTAACAGCTGTGAGGATCATGCTCCTTAAAACACTCAACCATAGGAGACCAAAAAGGTTGCAAGGGACAGCAACGATGGATGGAGGAAAATGGGGAGAATGGTGTTTCATTAGAGCCTTGCAACTAATGGCACCAAACAAAACGTACATAAAATGTTGAATGAGAAATGGACTGGCTTTGTGAAATTTCACCCAAGACACATTAATGTTTTTTTTAAAAAAGGCAAGTAAATGAACAACAAAAACAACCCTAAAAAGAAGTCCTACTCTTCATACATGGGGTGCATGAACTGGAATCAACTCAACGGCAACTAACAACAACTGCTGACATCAGGCCACCGTCTGCCCCAATTCTCCGCCGTCGGCCATCTCTTGGCTACACAGGGCATTGCTGATAACAGCTTCCTTTCAGGAGTTTCACCAAAGACACAATGACAAGGTATTCCCCATACCTGAATACGTCCTCATACTCTTTCTGTGTGGACTAGTCCTTGTCTAGGTCTTCTCTATTTACTCACTTTTACACCATCAGAGAACCCTGGACTAGGATCTCTGGGTTCTACAATCAGTTCCTGTGGGCCCCTGACCAAATCACGCCATGCTTCTAGACTGCCTCCGTTTCCTCATCGGGCACATGAAGGGAACTCTGAAGTTCTTGGGCATTCTACAATTTGAAAGTATCAATTTACAGTCTCACAACCTCATAACTCGTCAGCATCATCCTGACCTAGCCAATGGCTTACTAAAGGACACTAACCCGCACCTTTACTTCCACCAGCAAATCCTCCTGGTCCACTTTTCTGTTTCCATACATTGTACTGCTCTCCTTTTGGGCCTCTATACTTGTCTTTCCCCATTTATCTCCAGCTAAGTTCCTTCCTTGAAGCCTCACTTTCACAGCCTTGTCCAAGTCTTTATCAACTTATACCTAAGTTCCCACAACAACCTCACAATTACAGGTGTTGGCTGGCTTCCAATGTTCCTCCCTCCACCCCCCACAACACACACACACACACACAACCCACTTCTTACTTTCCAGTAAAAAACCGTGCTGGGCCATGCCATGTTCACATTACTTCATATCTATCGAAGATGGCTCTTAATATGTGTGCCTTGACACAATACAAATATGCTTTTGTTCTTAACGAAGCCTTCCTTGATTGCTCGCGATTCCACAACCCCAGAATACTTTTCACAGTCTACCACACGAAATCAAACATTATTCATTGCTTTTTAAACATTCAGCACTACTGCTAATCATCTTGGGTAAATGACATAATGTCACAGCTTTGGTTTTCAAATCCAGATTCAAATCTCAATCACCTGGAAAACCTTACAAAGAAATAAATACGGACCCTAATATTAGAGTTCGGTTGTGGGTGTGCTGGACTTCAAGGTCGGTTTGAACCTCAAGGTCATCAGTTCAAGCTCACCAGCTACTCCTTGGAAACCCTATACAGGGTTGCTATGAGTCAGAATTGACTTGATGACACTTGAAACAGCAACAACAAAACTACTGATTGGTCTGTTTCAATTGGTCTGAGGTGGGGATCTGACACTGATTGTTGTTTACTTAAAGCACTCCAGACAACTCTATAGTTTGAGAACCACTGGGTTAGAGAAGTTCAGTTCAAGTGAAGAATCGATTCCCCATCAGACTGGAGTTCTTGTTGGCCAATACTACTGATGAAAAACACTGACATCTCCAGAGGGCTTTATAAGACTGTAGACAACAATCCTTTTCAGTTCTACTGCTCTTGCTTACAATATGCAACCATCTCCACTAGGGCTCTATATAAAGTCTATTACGTCATGGGCCACGCTGCTAAGTGATTGATTGCTTTTAGAAGGCTGGGGTTCATTTAAAATAGTAGCGGAGTCCTGGTGTGGCACTGCAGGCTAATGCACTGGATTGCAAGGTCAGTCTGAACCACGAGGTCGGTAGTTCAAACCCACCAGCTGGTTCTTGGAAACCCTAGACAGGGTCGCTCTGAGTTGGAACCTACTTGACAATACTTAACAACAAACAGTAATTATGTCTAGAGAGTTAAAGAATTTAAGAAGGAAAAAACACCTCACCTTCAAGGGGTGCCTTCAGGACTCTCATTTTCAGGAAGGACTACAAAGCTAAACCAGGTGGATCCATTTGAATTCCAGGGTGTTCTGGGTAGTCTCTGCCTCAACAGAACACTAAGCTGCCACTGACGAGTATATGTAAATAAGTGTGATAAAAGAATGACTGTTTCACTGTTCTACATCCTACTCTGGTGAGTAGTAACAGGATCTTAAATGCTCATGACTAGCCATCTAAGGAAGAAAGAAGAGTGATGAAAATGTAAGATGATTGCAATCCTAGTCCAAAGAACTAAATGAACACATGAATATCAGTATCCATGACTCTGAGACCTGAAGAACTAGATGGTGCCCACTCACCACTAACAATTGCTCTAAAAGGGATCACATTAGAAGATCCCTGATCGAGTGGGAGAAAATGTGGAACAAAACTAAAAATTATAAAAACAGGCATACTGGTCAGAGAGAGACTGTAGGGACCCGAGAGTAGGGCCCTCAGCTACCTTCAGGTCTGGGAAGGAATTCATCCTTGTGGCCCAATTTTCAGTCAAGCAGTAGACAGGTATTTAGTGGGAACAATAACACCAGTGAGGTATGCTCACCATGGTCAACATTCAAGATCAAACGGGCAATATTTACCTAAGGACAAAGTTGAGAAGGGTTGGGAAAGATGGTGGAATGGAAATAGGAACCACAGGAAGAAAGTGGGACAACTAAGTGATGTTACACAGAGGGAACTGCAATCATTGCGAGGACAAAGTGAATGATTTGATGGATGTAAAACTGATGATCTGCTCTGTAAACCTTCACTCAATTCACAATCAAAAGTTAAAAACAAAAAACGAGAATGACTGTCTCATTTTCCCTAGCCACAAGAAACCCTGTACTTCTAACTGACATGACTTACAAGAAGCAGAGACTGTATCATATATACCAGTATATATTGTATCATATATATCCCAGGTCTTCAGACACCAGTGAAGCACGCAAGAGGACCTCCCTGGCAGTATTTTGCCTGAGATTTTCCCATTCTTGTCATGCAAAGTCCACTGCTGATTGGTTTCCTGGTAGGAGAACAGATGGTTTATCCATTCTCATCTAGGGACCCTTTCACTGCACACCAGTATTGCCATCAGAGGTTAGCAAGGGGGAAAGGAAACAGAGAAGTGGACATTCAGGTTTGGGATAGAGAAAGAAGAGAACTTTCTGGTGGGGAATGAGGGGCACACAAATAGCTACTGTGACATTAAGAGACCAAGTTTATACAATTCCTCCTTGTGTCCTATGATGGTAAATCTCATTATTTCACCACAGGTTTCTTGAGTCCCTAAAATCATTTGAGAATGTTTTGACATTGTTCAGTTCCCTCTGATCCAGCTTCTGACCTAGAAGGCAGGGAGAAGGTGATTTGGGGAACGGAAGGTCTCCACAGAACTGGGCCCACCATGCACTTAAGATGAATGGCCTACAATGGACCTGGTGCACAAACCCAACACAAGCATAACAGTTTCTGCAGATCACACTCATTCTTAAAATGGAAACATTTTATAGTATGGAAAACAGGGGGTTAACCTTTAAAATCAGTCCAGAATAAAGGACCAACAGGAAATACCTGAACTTTTGTATGTATGTGTAAAATGAAATTTTAAAAGGTAGTATGAATGAGTTAATGCAGCCAATTAAAATGTCACAACCATGTCTGGTTGCTGGGATGCCACAGAAATGAATTGGAAGAAACATTATGAACAATGTGTTGCTAGAACAAATAACTGTGTTCTCTTTTTGCCACATAAATTTGTAACAAACTAGATAGAATATCTTCAACAGTGACATTAAAGCCACTGTGAGACCCATTCAAAAGCAAAATCTACACTAATGGTTTCCTAGAGGCAATGTCTAATTGAGTTGCAAATGGAAATGTAATCACTCTGATTAGTAATGCTATTGATGACCAATTGCCAGTGCCTAGAATAGTGTTCAAAGGAGCTCTGGTAGCATAATGGTTAAGAATCGGGCTGCTAACCTCAAGGTCCGCAGTTCGAAACTGCCAGCCATTCCGCGGTAGAAAGAGGAGGCTTTCTGCTCCTGTAAAGATTTACAGCCTTGGAAACCCGGTACAGGGTTCGCTATGAGTCGGAACCGACTCCACGGTACTTAACAAGAAGAATAGTGTTCTACATATCTTAGCACTTAATCTCTCTTGAATAGATGCTTATCTGCCAGATGTCTGTCTTCTTCATCTTGAGCTGATGCAATTAACTTCCATACAGGCAATTTTTAAAAAACACTTAAATTGATTTTCGATTCACTGTTTTCAATAGTCCAGAACTTTATGTCAAATTAGTTTCTCCAACTCACTCAGGAGCATTTCCTGCCTCAAGCTACCAAATCCTGATGGTTGCTGATGTTCAGAGCTTAAGCCATGACCCAAAAATCCATTGCCCTTGAGTTAAATAAAACGTGGCAAAAACTAAACTGCATCTTTCAGAAGCCACACTGGTTAACTGTGCCACACATCCTGAGGTGCACAGTCAATGTGTCCCAATTGCATCTGCTACTATGTATCTCTCCCTTTCTCTATATGCAACGTACACATTTATGGAGTACCTCCCATGCATGGAGTCAGCACATTCTAGGTATGTCTTCTCGGCCCTCAGGGAGTGTTTTCTTTCCTTCCTCAGCACCTGGCCTGTGAAGTCGATCCCTCCCCAACACTGCTTGACTCTTTTTAAGGAGCCCTGGTGGCACAGTGACTTAAGCTTTAAGTAGCTAATCACAAGGGTGGTGGTTTCAACCCACCAACTGCTTTGTGGGACAAAGATGAGGCTTGTCTGCTCCGTTAAAGATTTAGTCTCAGAAACCCTAAGGAACAGTTCTATGCTGTGCTGTCGGCTTGCTACGAGTTGGAATTGGCTTGATAACAGTGGGTTTTGTTTCTGGTTTGGTTTAACACTGCAGTCGAGGGAGGGCTACCCTGCTGGCTGCTCCAAATCTGTAGAGACCCATCTAGCATCTTGATCACATGCTCTAGGAAGGCTGACCAGGAGGACGAAGAAGAAGAAGAAAGGTACTCTGATAAGGCCAGGAAATGAAGAGCAGGAAGCCCACATGCGCTCTGTCTGTAGAGGGATGCAGCTTCCTCCAGAGAAGACCTGTCTCTAAACTCATGATAGAGCTTTCCACTGCTAATGTTTGGAAGCATCTTGTTTCTCATCAACAGATGTGGTGACTCAAAAACGGGACATGTTGGTTTCTAAGCTGTCATAGGCTGTGTGCCTGGACCATCCACAGTCTTATCACTCCAAGTATTACAGGTGCTCACTAAACATAGCTGAAATGGCTTTTCTATTGTTCACTAAATTCAGGCATATGACATGCTTACCAGGTCCCAAATGCTATGCTACATGCCCCCATGCTTAATCTTTTCAAAGCCCATAAAGAATGAGAAACTTGACCAGAAGCAGGATTTGAAACCTAAGTCTTCTTTGTTGTTGTTGTTGTTGTTAAGTGACTTTAATATTTAACTTTTTAACTTAAATATCTTGCCTATTAGTAGATGGTTAGCTAACTGCATTATTAAGCTAATAAGCCCGAAATCATGAGTTTCATATTTTTCATTAGCTGGTAGCTTTACTCTGTTCTAAGGCCATAGACCTCTTTCTAATATGTCAGCTCTGAAAAATTAATAATACATACACCTAAAAACAAAACAACAGACCCAAACCCACTGCCAATGAGGTGATCCTGACTCATGGCGATCCTACAGCACTTAGTAGAATTGCCCCATTCCGGTTCCAAGGCTATAAATCTTTTTAGAAGCACACCGCCGTATCATTCTCTTGTGGAGTGGCTGGTAGGTTTGAACTGCCAACCTTTGGACCCACATTCATATACTTAACTACTGAGCCACCAACACAGAAGTTGTTGTTAAATGTCATAGTATTGTTTCCAAGTCATAGCGACCCTGTATCGGGTTTTTAAGTAACTGCTGCTAAGTTTGAACCGCCAACCTTGTAATTCAAACTGACCATGCAGCAGAGTTCAGTGCATTCACCCACAGCGCCATACCAGGATGCACCTAAATTCATCATTGTCATTGAAAGAGTTGGAAGTTTACATAGTACTGATGACAGATGTGAGGTAGTGGGGATGGTGACTGTGTGCTGTCAAGTCACTTCTAACTCACAGCGACCCTGTATAGGGTTTCTGAAGTTATAAATCTTTATGGGAGCAGACAGTCTCATCTTTCTCCCACAGAGTAGCTGGTGGCTTTGAACTGCTAATCTTGTAGCTAGAAGCACAATGCATGCCCCACAATGCTACCAGGGCTTCTTATAGATCTGAGGAGATGCTAAGAAATGACTAATTGAGATTAGTTTCAGCTCAAGATATGACTTGGAATCTCCTTATTCCAACTTTATGTAGAGTAACATGAAAGTTCCCAATGATGGTAACTTAAAACCTCCTTTAAGAAATAAAAACAAATTCTGTTGGCTTAAGCTAAATAAACTGAAAAGGCCTGGCTTCTTAATTGTGAGCTCCTTAAGAAGGGAACAACATGTGAAAAACAGTTGCATATACATTCTAGTGTGGTAAAAATAATGGGTGGGTAAATTAGTCAAAATGATCATAAAGAATGAGTGAGTCATTTACAATAATACAATGAGAAAACCAATTGTCCTTCTACAAATTAACGTTGTTGCTGTTATTAAGTGCCGTCAAGCTGATTTCAATCTGAAGCGACCACATATACGATTTCCAAAGAGCAGTTGATGTGTTTGAGCCGACAACCTTATAGTTCAAACTGACCTTGTGGTTCAATGCCGTATCCTGCAGTACCACACCAGGGCTCCATAAGTTAAAATAGAACCTTCTAAAGAGCACTGTTTTATACAATACAATCTGAAAAATCCTTCACAATAACCTGATGGTGGCAGTGGTTGTGTGTTGTGGAATCAGTTCTCTGTACAGGGTTTCCAAGGCTGCTCCAATCTTTATGGGAGCAGAAAGACTCATCTTTCTTCCAGGAGAAGCTGGTAGATTTGAACTGCTGACCTTGGGGTTAGCAGCCCAACTCTTAACCCATGAGAGGGCTCCATCAACCACTTGATAATGCAATGAAAAACACAACATACCTTTGTCTGAGCAGGTATCTTGTTCTGAATTTTCAGTGTTGTAGTTTCCACTTTGGGAGCAGCACTAGTGAATGGTATCTTTGGAAGTGTTCGAGATGTTGTCATCTCTGGACTCTCAACATCCTCATCAGTTCCTGGAAAAATAAGCAGAGATGAGCCGAGCACAAGAATCACAACGCAGACATCTATGTTATCAGACGATACTGCCTACCATTGATAACAACAGAAGGTACATTCTTTCTAAATACCTGCTCCTCAAGAATTCAGCACAAACTTTTCTTCAGTCTTCATTGTGATGAAAAAGTAACTTCCAAAGGGACATATGTATAGCCTGGGAATTTTTGTGCAGTATTTATTACCTTGAAAACTCTCTGTTTGTCACTCTTTCATTTACATGTTTAATCTCTCCTGCTCAATGAGATTTCTTCCCATCTACCTTGAAGCATGTTTCAATTTTCACATAGCAAAATTACAATCACATTAAAATAAAAATAATAATCAAAAAAGAAAACTCTCTTATAGCTGAGCCCTTAATTCATGTTTATTTCATGTTAAGCCCTCTCTCCACTTTTATAGCCAAACTGATAACAAGGGAGCTATAGATACCCTTGGTCCTTTCTTGCCTCTCTGCCCTTCTTCCAATCACTCTTTCCCCATATTACATCTAAGAACTGGTCTTCTGAAGGTCACCGATGTTCTCCAAGATGCCAAATCCAATGGTATTTTTCAAAACGCACTTGTTCTAAACCAAAACCGGCAACAATGTTACTGCTTACTACCATCCCCTTTGATATGCAACCTTTTTGGGGCTTCTAGGATTTTCTCCTCTCCTCTCCTCTATGGCCATTTGTAAATTTCTTTGCAGGTTCATCCTCCTCTATCTGCACACAACATCAAAAGCTCTTTAAGGTTCAGCCCTAGGTCACTTTGTACTGCACACTTTCTTCCTTTATCCCTCACCTAACCCTGTGGCTTCAATAACTATCTAAATATAGATAACGCCACCCTCTGAAATTCAGATCCATGTACCAATGACCTACTTGACATATTCACTTGAATGTATCAAAGGCACTACATATATCTAACAGACCTGGGTCTTCGCACTATACTCCTTTTCAATGAATGGAATTACGTATTCTTACCTTCCAAAATTTTCTTTCTCACTTGCATATTGGAGTCATCACCAAGTCCTGCTGATTTTACTTTTTCATATCCTCCTTGCAGACACCTGAATCTAAGCCACCATCTCCAGTGCCACTACCCTGAGCCAAGTCACTGTTATACAAACTATTCTAACTGCCTCAGTCATCTGTCCACAAATGGCTATGATTCCAACATCGATGCTTTATTTAAACACCTCAAATGTCCCATTGTTCTTGGGACCAATACAAAATGCCTCAACCTAGCCTTGCAAGATGTACAGCCAGAATGCTTTTTAGAAGCAACAAAGTTGAGACTACATTTCTTGTCCTTTGGACATGTTAGGAAGGACCAGTCCTTTGACAAGGACATTATGTTTGGTAGAGGGTCAGAGGAAGACCTCCAATGAGATGAGATGAACTGACATAGAGGCAGTAGCATTGGGCTCAAATGTAACAACAGTGAGGATGGTGTAGGACTCAACAGTGTTTTGTTCTGTTGTGCATACGGGAACTGACTCAGTGGCGATTAATGCCAACAGCCTTGCGTGTCCGGCTGGCCATGTATTTCCAGTTTCCTTGAGCCCCATTTTCCCTGTTGTCCCCTGATACCTCTGCCAGAAATCCTAACCTAGTTAATCCTTAACTGGCTTCCAGATCACAGCATAGAGGTCCTGTACTGGGGAAGACCTCCTCTGGTACTGATATATTAAGACTGATATATTAGGTCAGAGTCCTTTTTAAAAATTTTTTTAACACTTTCTTTTCCTAACAGCATTTATCACAAGTTTGAAATTATATGCCCATTTGCATAACAGCAGTCTTCCCTTAGGATTGCATCTATTTTGTTGTTAAGTGCCTGTGTATGGTTTCAAAGTTGCAGCTAGTAAGCTTGAACTGCCGACCTTGTGGTTAAAACCGACCCTGTGGTCCTGGGCTTTATCCCACAGCGCCACACCAGGATTCCCTCACACATTGTTATTACTGTTGTTAAGTGTTGTCAAGTCATATCCGACTCATAGTGAACCTGTATAAGTTTCCGAGGAGCAGCTGGTGAGCTTGAACCGCCGACCTTAAGTATCAAACTGACTTTGCAGTCCAGCGTCACACCAGGACCGCCCCCTCACACAGTCCCTAGCATGTCAACGGGCTCTGATTTGGTATTTGTTCAGTCACTGACTGACCACCAATTTTCTACCTGAACACTATTGTTTGTCTTTTTTTTTTTTTAATATACCAAAATAACATTTAAAATTTTCTTACTACATTTAAACATAGCATTATTTTAGAGATATCATTTGTCAAATGTGTTAACAACTTACACTTAAATTCTTTAAGTTAAACTTACCTCCAAGCCCTTTGATTACCCTGGAGGAATTATATGCAAATTTCTCAACCAAAAGCAAGTAGGTATTTCTCACAGAATCATACTAATATAATAAGATGTTTAGAAAATTAAAAGGAGACAGTACAATGGCTTTAATACTTTGGTTCATTTTTAGTATGCCAACTGTCTCCTTTAACTTCAGAATACATACACCTGCTACATAGAAAATAAATAATAGTGTGTATTGGAATATTCACAAGACTTTGCTTTCAGGACCTCCCCCTGCAAAAAAAGACCACAAAAACAAAAACCCAACAACTTGGTGCTGATTCTAGCATTCATTTGTACTGTGATCTTGAATAAGTAATACTTGAGTCTCAGTTTCTTCAACTGCAAAATGGGAATAACAAGAACTAGCTTTACAGGTTTAAATATGATGTATGTTTACCACCAGCCGCTCCGGGGGAGAAAGATGAGGCTTTCTACTCCCGTAAAGATTTACACCCTCGGAAACCCTGTACAGGGTCGCTATGGGTCGGAACCGACTCGACGGCACTTAACAACAACAACAACAACAATGTTTAAAAACATTCTATAAATATGATATACATTTCAATGCATTCTACAGAGTTCTGTAAATATCAGTCATTAATAATGACAGCTCCAGAAATGCGATGCTCTTTTACACTAGCCGGTTTGATGGTGCTACTGGTTAATGCGCTGGACTGCAAGGTCAATATGAACCACAAGGTTGGCAGTTCAAGCTCACCAGTTACTCTTCAGAAACCCTATACAGGGTCACTATGAGTCAGAACCAACTTGATGGCACTTAACAACAACTTCATTTTCAATTAAAATCATACGTATTTATTTTTAAATTTTATATATGTTAATTTGTCTGATCTCTCCCTAAAATGAATTTTCTTTCAAATAATAAAATTTCAAGGACACATAAAAGATGCCAATTAAAAAACCCCTGGTTTGTAATAGTTACAGATAGGAGTCATCAAGCAAGGGCTGTGGGAGTCTTGAGCACAAACAAGTCTGTACAGTAGAAAATCCTCTCACGCGCTAGCACTTAAGTTAGAGACAGATGAGTAAACTACCTTCTCCCTCCCCAATGGGACTCTTCCTACTGACTGTTTCCACTATGTTTATGAAACAGCTTAATCCATTTGTCTAAACCAGAAACCTGGGAGGCCCATGACTGCCCCTTCCTTGTCCCTAACTTCTGGCTCACACTGTCTCTGAGTCTGTAGTATACTGCACCTCAGAGCCTGCTTTGACCTAGAAAACTGCTGTTTATGCCACCTTCTCCAGCTTCAATACCGTCCTCCCATCTCTGAGGCCTTTCCTGATCTCTCCATCACAGTTTCTTCCTACGTTCCCACGACTCACTGAACCTCTTCTTTGTGAAAGTAACATTTTCTTCTACTTATAAAAGGGAAAACATGTTAAAAATATATATATATATTTATGCACTCATATGTGGAATTTGGAGATGACTAAATAAATTACCCCACAACCAGAGAAAACATCGCCATATTTTTGCCTTCACAAATCTTAGTTACAGCTACTACCTTAACATATCTGAGCAGTACAATGGCTTTTCCAGTCAAAAACAAAACTCTTACTTCTTCGCAGCGATGATCAACTCAAGACTAGAGCTGAGAGCAAGCAGTGTGGGTCCATGTTTAAGCCCCAGTTCCAACTATCTAATTTAGTGAATGAAGATTTACTCCATCCCTCATTCTGCTGTATAAGGAGGGAAGGCAGGGAAGCAGGGCTAGACACCTATTGGCAGAAACCAGCAAGATGACTTGGACAACCTCTACAGATACCCTCCATCTCTAAGATCCACGAAATGGGGACAGAAAAGTGTCCATATTTATGGTTTCCTGGGACGTTTTGATAATGACACAATTACAAAGCAATTTTGAGGTGCTAGAAAAAAAAAGAAGTGCCGTGAGTGAAACATATTAATAGAGTTGTGGGCTATGGAGAACAACTCTTTTCACACTCCTTCTGTGTGCGCGATATATATCACTCTCCCGAGAATAACTAGGGCTATTTTTACATAAGGAATTCATTGTAAGCTCATTGTTACTAGGTCAACCACCAACTCTCTCTCGTCTTCCTCAAACCTGGTATTTCCCAACTCAAAAAACTCATTCTTATATTGCTAGATAGCTACAAAAGGCACAATTGACTTTAATTTGTTTTGGGTCATTCTGAAGCTCAGGCCAACGCGATCATCAGACATCAACCATGATTCTATTTTCACCATAACTTTCTACAACTGTTGAATCTACAATGAAAACTCTAACTAAGAAAGTTCTTGAAGAAGATTTTACTAGCATCCTGTTTAAAGAGCCCTGGAAGCATAGTGGTTTAGGCATTGGGCTGCTAAAACCAAGGTCTGCAGTTCAAATCCACTAGTTGCTCCACGGGAGAGAGACGGGGCTTTCTGCTCCCGTAAAGATTTATAGCCTTGGAAACAAAACACAGAAACAATAGGAGTTGGAAGCGACTCAACACGATGTAGTAGCAGCAGCAGCAGCATCATGTTGACTTGAATCTCTGATTTGACCACTAATTAAATATATGCATAAATTGTTCTCACTCTTCAGTTTGTCAGAGCCATTCCTGGTACAGAAGAAACATTTACCAGATATCAAAGATTACAAAAATGGCTACACTCCTTTACTCCTCATTGTATACACTTACTGATGAAGATCAAAGGCTACAGCCTTCGATATGGGTTGCACTTCACTGCAAAGGAAACAAAAATCCTCACAACTGGACCAAAATAACATCATAATAAAATGGAGAAAAGATAGAAGTCAAAGACTTCAATTGCTTGGATCCACAACCAGCACTTATGGAAGCAGTAATTAAGAAATCATATGGAGTACTGCATTAGGCAAATCTGCTGCACAAGATCTCTTTAAAGTGTTCAAGAGCAAAGATGTCAGTTTGAGGACTAAGGTGCTCCTAGCCCAATTTCAGTTGCCTCATATGCATGTGAAAGTTGGACACTGAATTAGACTGACAGTAGAAAAATCGATGCATTTGAATTACGGTGTTGGAGAAGGATACTAAAAGAAGTACATGGCCTATCAGAACCCAAAACAAATTTGTGTTGGAAGAAACGCAGCCAGAATTCTCCTTAGCAGTCAGGAGGGTGAAACTTTGTCTCTTGTACATTGGACATGTTATCAGCAGGGAGCAGCCCCTGGAGAAGGTAAAGTGGAGGGTCAGCATAAAAGAGGAAGACCCCAAGGAGATGGACTGACACTGGCAACAACAACGGGCTTAAGCGTAACAATTGTGAGGATGGTGCGCAACTGGATATTGTTTCGTTCTGTTGTGCCTAAGGTCACTCTGAGTTGGAACTGACTAGATGGCACCTCTGGTAGCACAGTGGTTACGAGTTGGGCTGCCAACCTCAAGGTCAGCCATTCGAAACTACCAGTGGCTCCGCAGGAGAAAGATGGGACTTACTGCTCCCGTAAAGATTTCCAGCCTTACCAACCAACAACAACAAGATGGCACCTAACAATAATGATACACATCTTCTGTAACTTGATTTTGTAGCTCCTTCAGTGATGAAGTCTAGGCTGGTCTTTTGACTTGTGTTGGCCAACAGAATTCAACAGAGATAATGATGGCCCACATATCAAGAGGCTTTGCCTGCTTCTACTTGTGCTCCTGGTATCTCAGTCTATTCCTCTTGAACAAGTATGTTAGATTGTATGTACAGACCACAGCCAAGTTATCCCAGCTGCCCCAGAGGTATGACAGTGCAGGCACGATTGGCAAAGTTGCACACCTAACCTGTAGCGGATCCCTGAGGGGGAGCCCATTAAGCCCAGTTTAAATTGCCAACGTGCAAAATGAGTTAAATAAATGGTTGTTGTTTTAAGCTGCTAAACTTTGGGGTGTTTTTTTTTAGGCAGCATTACTGTAGTTAATAGATAGTTGAAACACTAGAGGAGTTGGGGACATCACCATGTAATCTTTTTACTTGCCTGTTACATCTTCCCTCCTACTTTTGAACAATACTTCAGTAATTAGAAAGGACAACTCATCTTATTCTTAGGTATAATCTTAAACAACGGACAAAGTATTTTTATGAAACTAGAGTTTGAGGGATTTAATTGTGGCTTCCATAACATGTAGTAATAGGCTTAACAATAAAATGCAATGCTGAAGTTCAAGATCAGTGACTATGTACCAAGCACCAAACTCTAAGAGCTTTGGATGTATCAATTCCTTTAATCCTCACAACAACCATTTGTGGTACGAGTTATTACTACCCTCCACTTCACAAATGAAGTCCTGGTGTGGTGCTGGTGCCAGATAAACACTCACCCACAAGTCTGTTTGAACTGCAAGGTTGGCAGTTCAAACTCACCAGTCATTCCTTGGAAACCCTATAAAGAGTCTCTATGAGTCGGAACCCACTCAAAGGCACGTACAACAACAAAAATTTCACAAATGAGAAAACCAAAGCTCAGTAAAGTTATCAATTCCCCACAATCTCACAGCTGTTAAGTGGTAGAGTTGGAATTTATACCAAATTCTGATCTGAGTCCAAAAGCCATGCTATTAATCACTGGGCATCCTGCCTGGGTCCTTGCAGCAGATTACAGTAAACGTGTGCGTGGATACAGAGAATGGGGGTGAGGGCTGAGAAGGAGAGAGCCTTACCCGAGCCAGAGGCAGAAGCATAGTCATCGTCGTCAATGGGGTACACTCCTGAAGCTTCTTCAATGGAGCTGTTGTCAAGGTACATGTCTTTATCAGATGTCAGCTCTGCTCTCTGGGGAAAGAAAGAGAAGACGTCCATGAGGATAAGAGATTAAGGAACATGTTTATACCATGGTGACTAACCTTCTTTGTCTTCTAGTCCTCTGAGTCTACGTTTCTGGCCCTACCCTTCTTCATGACAGCCTGACAATTTGAATTATATCAAGGGCTGACCACAGTCTAGTGCCCCAGGGGTCCTATATTCTACAATGTGTCTAACCCAGGAGACACTTGGAGATGGAGAGCCTGTCACTGGCTTTTTCTGATACCTTCCCTCCAATAGTAGTTCTAAGCCATTTCAAGCATTCTCTCTATCACAAAGTCGGGGTGACATTCCCTTACTGGAAATGCTACAAAACATTCAAATCACCTAAAAATTCCTTAAGAATGCAGGTTTCCCCATTATCCAACATACCAACGACACCGTTTATAAGCTGAAATGGTGTAAAGCAAAGAAGCAGTAGCCATTAATTTATATGGGAACAACTTTTGAGTGTTCCTAGACCCAAAAAATAATCTTCCAAATAATACACAGATTGGCAGGTCAAACCCACCAGTAGCTCCTGGGAAACCCTATATAGAGTTGCTACAAGTGACGCGACTAGAAGGCACTTAACAACAACAACAAAGTAACACATTAAAATAGAATGTTAGTGGAAGGAGCTTGGCAACGCCACTCTTGTTGCTCGGGGTGATGCTACCTCTTTAACAGCTCTCGTTGCAAAACACATGCAGAACGTTAGCTTCACTAGTTTCGTCTGCTATTGTAAAAGCAAAAGTCCTTTTTGGATTTCTTTTGGTTAGTGAAACACGTACCAATGTAGGTTTTTTGTAAATGTAAAGTGCACATTAGAAAGGTGGGGGAGAATTTAATACACAGAGGTATTATGGTGCTTAAGTAGTCTCTGGTGGCAGGAACAGTTAAGCCTTCGATTATAACTGAAAGGTTGGTGGTTCAAACCCACTCAAGCGTTTCCTTGGGCAATATGCATCTGAAAGATCACAGGCCTGAGAAGCTTATGAAGTCGTACCCTGAAACACATGGGGACATCATGAATCACTTGGCTTCCATCAGCATCTGGTTTACTTTTTATGTTTTATGGTGCTTAGGCTAAACAGGCAACCAGGAATCCATCAAGGCCCACCAAATGCTTTGCAGGCCTGGCCATGCTCAGAGCTTTATCACTACAGACAAGCTCCCTGCCCCCACCCAGTCGTCTGGATATTCCAGAACTTTCTGCCACAGATGGCATCCTGTTGGGAGCAATATGCGTGTGTTGCTCATTGGACAAGGGCAAAAGCCCACTATGAGCCTGCCTCTGGGGCTCCCTGACTTTGCAGAGCCTTAATGGCAAACCCAGAAAAACCCACATGAGCACATTCTTATTGCATTACTGGCACTTGGTAATAGCAAATCACACGCTTAATATAGAGAGGAGGGATCATTCACTAAGTATACCAGTTCCACAGCTTCTTAGCTATTCTCAGTGTAAGAGTTTTAGTATTAAAATTCAACCTAATCCTGCCAAAAGAGTAACTTGCATGAATTATAGGCAGAGCACAGGTATAATATCTTTTAAAATGGTTTTAGGAAATTGAGATTTTACCACTAGGATCATATGAAACCCAGAACAAACAAAGCAGGCCTCTAGCTTCTAAATAACAACTGTTTAGAAATGGTCAGCACTCAGTATTATTGTCCTATTTTTAAAAATCAAGTTGAACGTTTGTTTCTAACAGCCATTATTTTTAAAAGTCTCTTTTAGTATATTGGCTTTCATTCGATTTCCTTTTAAAATAAAACTTTCTTTTCCAGCAGTAACTCTGAGTGGGACCTTCCGGGGAAGAAGACGGGTCCAGACCTCAATAACAGTACCACTTTATTCTCTCACATTTCAGTGGCTGGCCAGAGAGGCTCAAGCATTTTAACCTGATCCCATATTCCCCACCAGGTTTCAGTGCCAACTGACAGAAAAGCATGGGAGCCCATATTGTGTGAGCTACCGCACTGGCAGATTATGAGAACTGAGACCTGAGGGATTGGTTTTCCAATGGCCTGGCTCTCAGGCATCAAGTAACAACCCTGAGCCAAGAGCGTGCTGGAATTCTCTGCCAGGACAGTCTGAGCTTAACTCTGCAATCTGAGGCAGTCCTCATGACACCCATTACCAAGGCTCTTGCCATTCCAGGCCACAATTCCCAAAGCTTGTGAACCACATCGGGGACCCTGCTTTTCCAGACCTCTACAACCAACCTCTTTTCAGTTACTGCTGAGTCAACTCCGATGCCAAGTGTTGTATAGCAGAACATGCTCCACAGGGTTTTCAATGGTTATGACCTTTCAGAAACAGATCTCCTGTCTTCTGAGGCACTTCTGGGAGGACTCAAACTGCCAACCTTGCTGTTACCAGTTGAGTGCTTGGCCCTTGGTACCATTCAGGGTTCTTTACAATCAACCCAACTGACTCCAATTAGACTCAGCTCCTTTGAGGGGCAAGACTGGGCCTGAGTCATCTTTCATCTTCCCCACTGCCCTTGTAACAGTGCCAGGAATGTGGTAGGTGCTCAGTAAATGTTGCTTGGGCTGAACAACATCAGCAAGCTGAGCTCTTTGTCCCCCACCTTAAAAGCCACTCTTGGTCCTGCTGCAGTCAACTGTGCTATCAACTTTATCAGGAGGACCCTCTTGCTTCCCCCTCTCTGATCCCATTTACTACTAACAGGGTCGACTCCAGTGATTCCTGTTGTTGCAAAGTGTGGTCAAGTCGGTTCCAATTCATAGCGACCAGGAACAGGGTTTTCAAGGAGTGGCTGGTGATGCTTCTAAGTTCCCTGTTTTGGATTTTGTAGCAAATGAACAGTTCAGACATGAATCCTCACTGCTGTTTTTCGTTCCTTCATGGGTACCTGTCTTGTCCTGCAGCAGAGAACAACTGGTTGAAGGCAGGTCATCAATGTACTCCCTTGCCTTGCTCCAAGTGCTTACTTAGCATGCTGAAGGGACTCAACAAATATTTGTCAACTGAGATTACTCAGACAAACTGACCTTGGTCTCTGCTTTCAGAGTTAACACATGTACTAAGACCACCAGGATCCCTACACATTTCTGTATTTTAAGCCCAGAGATCATCTGCGCCAAAGCTCTTATACCAGGTGCTTTATATCAGCTTAAGTTACCTAGGTTCTTAAAGGCAATTAAAAGAACTTTTTTTTTTACCTACTCCTCTCCCCTTTTCTTAACATGGAATGACTTTCATTTTCCTCTTGGCACTGTCAAAGCAATTTGATGAGGCAAGGGTAACACTAAGATATTTAATCCCTATGTGTAAATTGAATTTCTATTCATTAGATGACCCAGTTGTCCAGACTGACATAACTCTTATACTAACAATGCAGATGGGCCAAAAATGTCTCGCAAAGAATTCTGGCCACCTCACAGTTCACTGGCATTGGGCAGACTGACAAACGACTGATGCCCCAGGATAGCTGGCTCTTAAAGACGAGGCTGTCAGGCCTATGCAACTATGAGATTCTGGCTGGAAGTCAGGTTGTGTCTGAAGAAGCCGGCATGCCCTCAGTTACCGGGGATCTGCAGGACTCCATGGTACTTCTGAGAGGAGCCCTGGTGGCAGTGTAGGTTAGGGGTTGGGCCGCAAGGTCAGCAGTTCAAACCCACCAGCAGGTCCATGGGAGAACGATGAGACTGCCTACTCCTATGAAAATTTAGTCTCAGAAACCCTATGTAGTGTTGCTATCAGGTATGGAGCTATAGGATAAGCACTTGATTGTTCATCAGAAGATTGGCAGTTCAAACCCACCAGCTGCTTCTTGGAAACCCTATAGAGTCGCTATGAGTAGGAACCGACTCGACAGTACTTAACATCAACAATGACACAATGATATTCGATGTGGGGATTAAGGTAGTTCTGGGGCTGGTAGGATGTTTTCATGTGCTTGAGAACAGCTAAAAGTAGGTTTCTCTGTCATCCAATGGGGCACAAGTTGCTTGTCATCAAACTGAAAGTTATTTCCCACTCTGATTTCAGGGGTACCAAGTACATTGAACTCATTTGTGGGTTTGCCATACTATTCTGGCTCATGTGTTACTATGATGCTGGAAGTTATACCACTGGTATTTCAAATACCAGTAGGGTCACCCATGGTGGACAGGTTGCAATGACTAAGATAGACTAGGAAGAAAGACCTGGAGATCTACTTCCAAAAACTGTTGTTATTGGAAGTGCTGTCAATTCGATCCCAACTCTTAGTGTCCCTGTGTAGGGTTACCAAAGAGTGGCTGGTGAGTTTGAACCATCGACCTTGTGGCTGAAATGGTCCTTGCAGTCCAGTACTTTATCCCACAGCGTCACAGTGAAAACCCTATAGCTATAACAGAAAACGGTCTGATAACCACAAGGTCAGAAAGCACAACGGACTCAAACGTATCTGTGATCATGAGGCAGGTGGGAGACTACACAGTTTTTTGTTCTGTTTTGCAATGGAGTCACCAGGAGCTGGAGCCGACACCACAGCTACTAACACCAACACATACAGTGGGGGAATTACCAAGTTCTCTCTCAGACTCCAATTTAACAAGCAATTTTGCTCTACAGCAGATAGCACTCAAAGAATACCTCTACTCTAGTGTCTCTCCCTTAAGGAAAAACAAAAACACAAAAAAACAGACCAAAAACTTTCCAAATATGACAAATTCCTTTTCTGAAGACTCCACTCTCGGTATGGAAAGGATTTCTGCAAATTAACATGCTTGGAGAGGGCAATGAATTCTGTACCAGCATTCCTAGGGGACATGTACATCTCTTGAGATTGTGAACAGGGGAAACTCAAGACTACCGAGTTTATCATCTAGCCAAATGCCATCTAGCCAAATCTGCCTCATGGAGCAGAAAAGCCCTGGCCATCCTTAGAGCCCTCTCACTTGTTCATGGAACAGAGCCAATGGAAGGAGGGAACTGGGAGGGAATGTGCAGAGGCATGGACCAAAGTCCCAAA